CAGTGAAAAGTGAGGAAACACACAGCTAGAACTCAGAAAGTAGACCTTTTTTTTTTTTTAACAGCTTTACTCAGATATAATTTACAGACTATATTTTTAAACACTAACAAAAATAACAGAAGCAGCAGCTCTAGAGCTGTGATACCAGAGAAGTATTCTCACTAATGCCTTCCCATCTAAAATTCAAAAAGCTTAAGTTAATCTAAAAATGAGCAACAGAAAAGATCACAGTCAAATCTCACAGAAAGTAATTAGGAAGGAAAAAAAGAATAAGCAAAATAAGTTGGGTACAGTGGCACATGCCTGTAGTCCCAGTTACTCAGAAGGCTAATGAGAGAGGATCCCTTAAGGCCAGGAGTTAGAGGCTGCAGTGTGCTATTACCGTGTCTGTGAATAGCCAAGGCACTCCAACGCTGGCAACATGGCAGGACCTGTCTCTTAAAAAAAAAAAATAAGGCCGGGCGCGGTGGCTCAAGCCTGTAATCCGAGCACTTTGGGAGGCCGAGGCGGGTGGATCACGAGGTCAAGAGATCAAGACCATCCTGGTCAACATGGTGAAACCCCGTCTCTACTAAAAATACAAAAAATTAGCTGGGCATGGTGGCGCATGCCTGTAATCTCAGCTACTCAGGAGGCTGAGGCAGGAGAATTGCCTGAACCCAGGAGGCGGAGGTTGCGGTGAGCCGAGATTGCGCCATTGCGCTCCAGCCTGGGTAACAAGAGCGAAACTCTGTCTCAAAAAAAAAAAAAAAAATTTGGTAGGCGTGGTGGCTCATGCCTGTAATCCCACCACTTTGGGAAGCCTAGGCAGGCAGATCACTTGAGGCCAGGAGTTCGTACCAGCCTGGCCAACATGGTGAAACCCCATCTCTACTAAAAATACAAAAATTAGCCGGGCATGGTGTTGCCTGCCTATAATCCCAGCTACTCTGGAGGCTGAGGCAGGAGAATTGCTTGAACCTGGGAGGCAGAGGTTGAAGTGAGCTGACATCGCACCACTGCACTCCAGCCTGGGCCACAGAGCGAGACCGTTTAAAAAAAAAAAGGCAGGATATCTCGACAAATAAAGTGATCTAGAAAAGATTATCCACAAAACAAATAAAAGTACAGCATTTTGAATGAGCTCAAAGAAGCTTATTAAGATATACATATATGGCCAGGTACAGTGGCTGATGCCTATAATCCCCCAATTAGGGAAGCCAAGGCAGGTGGATCACTTGAGGTCAGCAGTTGGAGAACAGCATGACCAACGTGGCGAAACCCCATCTCTACTAAAAATATAAAACTTAGCCAGGTGCAGTGGTACACACCTGTAATCCCAGCTACTCTGGAGGCTGAGACGTGATAATCGCTTGAACCTAAGATGAGGAGGCTACAGTGGGGCAAGATCATACCACTGCCCTCCAGCCTGGGTGACAGAGTGAAACTGTGTCTCAAAAAATAAATAAATAAGAAATAAAATAAAACATACATATATATCATATATTGGCTGGGCACAGTGGCTCTCATCTATAATCCCAGCACTTTGGGAGGCAGAGGCAAGCAGATCACTTGAGATCAGGATTGAAAGCAGCCTGGGCAACTTAGAGATAGCCCATCTCTACAAAAATAAAAACTTAGCCAGGCATGGTAGCACGCACCTGTGGTCTCAGGTACTTGAAGGCTGAGAGGATCACTTGAACCTGGGAGGTGATGGCTGCAGTGAGCCAAGATCATGCCACTGCATTCCCGCCAGAGACCCCATCTCAGAAAAAAAAAATTAAAAAGTATATTATACATATTAAATATATAGATAATATATAAAAGTTTTTAAAATTACACACACACACACACACACACACACACACAGATTTTTTTTTAAGAGAAAGGGTCATACTCTGCGCTGGGCGTGGTGGCTCACACCTGTAATCCCAGCACTTTGGGAGGCCGAGGCAGGTGGATCACAAGGTCAGGAGTTCGAGGCCAGCCTGGCCAATATGGTGAAACACCATCTCTACTAAAAATACAAAAACTAGCAGGGTGTGGTGGTGCACACCTGTAGTCTCAGCTACTCGGGAGGCTGAGGCAAGAGAATCACTTGAACCCAGGAAGTGGAGGCTGCAGCGAGCTGAAATTGCACCACTGCACTCCAGCCTGGGCAATACAGAGAGACTCCATCTCAAAAAAGAGAGTCATACTCTGTCACCCAGGATGGAGTACAGTGTCATGATCATAGCTCATTGTAACCTCTAACTCCTGGACTTATGAAGTTCTCCCACCTCAGCCTCCTGAGTAGCTGGGACTACAGGCACACACCACCACCTCTGGCTAATTTTTTTTTTTTTTTTATAGAGATGGGGTCTCACTCTGTTGCCCAGGCTTGTCTTGAACTCCTGGGCTCAAGCAATCTTCCAGACTTGGCCTCCCAGAGTACTGAGATTACAGGTGTGAGCCACCATGCCTGCTAGAAGAAAGAAATTTAATGCTATGTTAAAGAACAAAAATCAAATTAAGAAAAACTTTTCAGTCTTTCAATGAGATAAAATGACTCATGAAAGAAGCAGAAATAAAAGATTCTTTTCACAAATGAAGGCTATACTAGAAAGAGCAAAAGACTGAATAAACACAACATATTTCTTAAAAATGGGAAATTTTGAGGCATGTGTAGTAGTGCATGCCTACAGTCCCAGCTACATGAGTTCAAAGCTATAAAGTGCCATGATTACATGTGTGAATAGCCACTGTGCTCCCATGTGGGCAACACAGCAAGACCCTGTCTCTTAAAAAGAGAGAAATTTTGAAACTGAATAAAGAAAAATATGAAAAAGGCTTAATGTATAGTAAGTGAAAGAAAGTTCAAAAAAAAAAAAAAAAAAAAGATTTGATATAAAGTGACCAGGGAGAGTCAAAAAGGAGAGCCAACATATGTACAAGAGTCCTTAAAGAAGAAAACCAAAGTGATTGGAAAACCAAATGCTAAAAATTGCCATTCAAGAAAATTTTGCTGAAACTTTAAAAAAATGCATATGAAACTACAAACTGAAAGCACACACTGTGTACCCAGAAAAATTGACAAAGAACACCACCAAAATATATTCTAGTAAAGCTACTCATTTTTAAAGAAAATCACTTACAAAAAAGATTTTAAAATAATCACATATAAGGAAAAAAGATCAGACTGGCATCTTTTTATAGCGATGCTTTATTCCAAAAACAGTAAAGTAACACATTTAAGACAATAAAGGAAAGAAAATGTGAACCAAGAATTTCATATACAGCCAAAATAATTTTCAGGTGTAAAGTCACAAACAAGGTATTATCAATAGGCAATATTGTTTCCATAAGCCCTTTTCTCAGGAATCTACTCAATAACAAGTCACAAACAACAAAAATGACTGACGAGACATTGACATAAGGACTGATTATCGGTGGACGTTAACATCACAAAAAGAACTAGACATATATACCTCCTGCTGGAAGTACACCACCTATGAAGTAGTTCTGCCCTAAACAAACAAACCTGAATATTCAGAAAATATAGAAGAGAGGAACATGTTAAATGACATCATGGAGAAGCAATACTCTAGATTTACGACAACTGAGTTTCTTAAACAAAAAAAGCTGCAAAAAAAATAGATAAAGGAGTAATCCATATATTAAAAGCTACTTAATAAAATCACACAATGTAAGAATCTTATTTGGACCCCGATTCAGGAAAACCAACAATAAAAGAAAATAAGCATTTGTAAGACAACTGATAATGTGAAATAATATTTCTAATTATTAATTTTTTAGATGTGATAACAGCATTGCTGGTTTTTGTTTTTTTTTTTTAAATTCTTTTCTTTTAGAGATACATACCCAAACATTTATGGATATAATAATATGATATCTAGGGTTTGCATCAAAATGATTCTGAAAGAGGAGGTAGGCTAGCATATAGATAAAATAATTATTGAAACTGGAGGATTAATACATAGGGGTTCATTACACGATTCTATCAACTTTTGTACATGTTTGAAATTTTCTATAAAAGGTTTTTTGTTTGTTTGTTTGTTTTTTGAGATGGAGTCTCAGTGTGTCGCCCAGGCTGGACAGTAATGGCACCATCTCAGCTTACTGCAACCTCCACCTCCTGGGTTCAAGCAATTCTCCTGCCTCAGCCCCCTGAGTAGCTGGGATTACAGGCACCCACCACCACCCCCGGCTAATGTTTGTAATTTTAGTAGAGGTGGGGTTTCACCATGTTGGCCAGGCTGGTCTTCAACTACCAACCTCAGGTGATCCACCCGCCTCGGCCTCCCAAAGTGCTGGGACTACAGGCGTGAGCCACTGCACCCAACCAAAAGGTATTTTTTAAGAAAGAAAAAGACACATAGATTTAGTATTCTGATTCATTAATTTAATAAACATTTGTAGTTTTATAACACAACTCTAAAATATTACCCTCTTTTACTCGTAGAAATTCATTTTGTTTCAACCTTTACGATCTCCAGATCACATTTTCAAAGTCTTAAAAAAACTGATAAAACTTGATAGAGGTCAGGTGTGGTGGCTCACATCTGTAATCCCAGTACTTCGGCAGGCCGAGGAAGGATTGAGGGGGAGCGGATTGCCTGAACCCAGGAATTCAAGCCCAGCCTTGGCTACATGGTGAAATCTCATCTCTATAAAACATGCACAAAATTAGCTGGGCATTGTGGCATGCACCTGTAGTTCCAGCTACATAGGAGGCTGAGGTGGGAGAATCACCTGGGCCCAGGAAGTCAGGAATGCAGTGAACCATGATTGTGCCACTGCACTCCAGCTTGGAGTAGACCCTGTCTCAAGACAACAAAACTGATAAAATTCTATCCTGACGTATCAGGTCACAGGATTATAGGTGTGAGCCACTGCACCCAGCCTTACAACTCAATTTTGAGAATGACTTATCAAATCTGGTCCACAAAGGACAATATGATTTTTGTTCAGTGAATCATCCTCATAATTTCAATTAGAGAAAGCACGAAAAAAAGACGTACCTGTTTTATGTGTGGATTCATGGCCATTTCAGTTACATTCTTCTTGGTCTCACAGAAAATAATAGCCCTCCCTTCAGACCCACTGTAGACTTGAAGGACATCTCCAATAACTGCTGGCCTCTGAGACCAGTGACACTGGATAGCCAAATGCTTTGAAGAAAGAAAATATATTATTTGTCTCATTAAAATTATTTGAAAATATTTCTCTTGTATATTTTTTCTATCTGGTCAAGAATTAGCCTTCCTGGGAGACTGTAAGACAAAGACTCTCCTCAGCCACACTTACAAACAATATAGACAAAGGGCCATCAATAAACAACTTCATGAAAGAATAAACAAACTGCAGTATATTCAAACAGAACACCATTCAGCAATTAAAAGAAACCAATTACTGATATACATGGAACAACATGAACCTTAAAAAATATACTGAGTGAGGGCCGGGCGCGATGGCTCACGCCTGTAATCCCAGCACTTTGGGATTACAGGCGTGGGCCGAGGCGGGTGGATCACGAGGTCAAGAGATCGAGACCATCCTGGTCAACATGGTGAAACTCAATCTCTACTAAAACTACAAAAAATTAGCTGGGCATGGTGGCACGTGCCAGTAATCCCAGCTACTCAGGAGGCTGAGGCAGGAGAATTGCCTGAACCCAGGACACGGAGGTTGCAGTGAGCTGAGATCGCACTATTGCACTCCAGCCTGGGTAACAAAAGCGAAACCCCGCCTCAAAAAAAAAAAAAAAAAAAAAAAAAAAAATCAAAAATATACTGAGTGAATAAAGTCTTACAGAAAATGACCACATACAGTACCATTCTATTTATATGAAGTTCTAGAATAGGCAATACCAATCTATTGTGGAAGAAAATCAGAACAGTGGTTGTCTCTGAACTGAGGATACTGATTGGGAAGGGGCATGAGGGAACTTTCTGGGATGATGGCAATATTCGATATGATGATAAGCGTTTGGGTTACACACATATGAATTTTTCAAAAATAGGCAAATGTACACAAGATTTTGCATTTCATTGTTCATAAATCTTATCTCTAAAAATTATAAATATGAATGATCCTCAAAACATTATGCTGTGAATGAAACAAGACATAAAAAGTCACATATTGTATGATTACATTTACAGTGACGCATTGCCTAATGACAGGGATACATTCTGAGAAATCTACTGTTAGGCAGCTTCATCATTATGCAAACATCATAGAGTGTACTTACACAAACCTAGGGTATAGCCTACTACACACGCCTAGGGTATACGGTATGTCCTATTGCTTCTAGGCTACAAACCTATACAGCATATTACTATACTGAACACTGTAGACAATGGTAAGTATGTGTGTCTCTAAACATATCTAAACGTAGGAAAGGTATAGTAAGAATATGACATAAAAGATAAAAACTGATACACATGTATAGGACAGCTCCATTATAATCTTATGGGACCACCCTCATATATGCGCCATCGTATATATGGTCCACCGATGACCAAAACATCACTATGCAGCACATGAATGTAAATGAATATCCAGAACAGGTATATCTATAGAGACAAAAAGCAGACTGGTGGTTGACAATGGCTAAAGGAGGGAATGGAGGCTGGGCACGGTAGCTCATGCCTGTAATCTCAGCACTTTGGGAGGGCAACGCAGGCAGATCACCTGAGGTCAGGAGTTCAAGACCAGCCTAGGTAACATGGTAAAACCCCACCTCTCCTAAAAATACAAAAAATTAGCCAGGCGTGGTGGCAGGCACCTGTAACTCCAGCTACAGGGAGGCTGAGGCAGAATTGCTTGAATCTGGGAGGTGGAGGTTACAGTGAGCTGCGATGGCGCCACTGCTTTCCAGCCTGGGCAACAGACCAAGACACCGTCTCAAAAAAAAAAAGAAAAAGCAAGAATGGAATGGGGAGTAACTACCTAATGGTTTTGGGGTTTCCTTTTGGGGTGATGAAAATGTTTGGAAATAGAAGTGATGGCTGTACACTGTAAATGTACTACATGACAGTGAATTGTACACTTTAAAATCGTTAGTTTTAGTTATGTGAATTTTACCTCAGTTTTAAAAACTGTAAATATGGCACTTTTCTTAAAGATATATATGCTAGGACGGGCACGGTGGCTCATATCTATAATCCCTGCACTTTGGGAGGCTGAAGTGGGTAGATCACCTGGGGTCATGAGTTCAAGACCAGCCTGGCCAACATGGTGAAACCCCATCTTTACTAGAATTACAAAAATAAGCTGGGCGTGGTGGCAGGCACCTGTAATCCCAGCTACTCAGGAGGCTGAGGCAGGAGAATTGCTTGAAACCAGGAGACGGTTGCAGTGAGCCAAGATTCGCACCATTGTACTCCAGCCTGGAGGACGAGAGCGAAACTCCATTATAAAAAAAAAAAAAAGATATGTATGTTAAAATACTTATGGGGAGATCAGGTACAGTGGCTCACACCTGTAATCCCAGCACTTTGGGAGTTCAAGGCAGGCAGATCACGTGAGGTGAGGACTTTGGGACCAGCCTAGCCAACATGACAAAACCATGTCTCTACTAAAAATACAAAAATTAGCCAGGCGTGGTGGTGCATGCCTGCAGTCCCAGCTACTCACATGGCTGAGGGAGGAGAACTGCTTGAACCTGGGAGGTGGAGGTTGCAATGAGCCGAGATTATGCCACTGCCCTGTAGCCTGGGTGACAGAGCGAGACTCTCTCAAAAAAAACAAACAAACAAAAACACAACACAACAAAGAAAAGCCACACATCCTTGAGTGATGTTAACAGTAAAATAAATAAATAAAAATTAAAACCACAGGGATACAAAACAGACTATGGGAAACTCATAAGACAAATGAGTTTTTTGTTTTTTTTTTTCTGAGATGGGGTCTCATGCTGTTGCCCAGGCTGGAGTGCAGTGGTGTGGTCTCAGCTCACTGCAACCTCCACCCCTCCCAGGTTCAAGTGATTCTCCTGTCTCAGCTTCCTGAGTAGCTGAGACTACAGGCACACGCCACCACGCCTGGCTAATTTTTGTATTTTTAGTAGAGATGGGGTTTTACCATACTGGTCAAGCTGGTCTCGAACTCCTGATCTCAGGTGATCCACCTGCCTTGACCTCCCAAAGCCTGGGATTACAGGCATGAATCACCACACCCGCCGACAAATGAGCAAATGAGTATTTTCTTTTTTTTTTTTTTTTTTTTTTTTTGAGACGGAGTTTCGCTCTTGTTACCCAGGCTGGAGTGCAATGGCGCCATCTCGGCTCACCGCAACCTCCGCCTCCTGGGTTCAGGCAATTCTCCTGCCTCAACCTCCTGAGTAGCTGGGATTACAGGCACGCACCACCATGCCCAGCTAATTTTTTGTATTTTTAGTAGAGACAGGGTTTCACCATGTTGACCAGGATGGTCTCGATCTCTTGACCTCGTGATCCACCCGCCTCGGCCTCCCAAAGTGCTGGGATTACAGGCTTGAGCCACCGCGCCCGGCCAAAATGAGTATTTTCAACAGAAAATTGTGAAGAAGAAAAGGAACTATAGATCATAAAATATTTAGCCGGGCGTGGTGGCGGGCCCCTGTAATCCTAGCTACTCAGGAGGCTGAGGCAGAATTGCTTGAACCTGGGAGGCAGAGTGTGCAGTGAACTGAGATGGCACCATTGCACTCCAGCCTGGGCAACAAGAGCAAAACTCCATCTCAAAAAAAAAAAAAAAAAAAAAAAAAAAAAAAAAAAAGACTGGTAATAGGTAATGGTTACATCATGTTCTTTACACTATTCAATCTTTCTATTCAACTTACTATTCAATTTTATGTTTGAAAATGTTCTTATTAACTTTTTTACTGATATGTTACATTCTTACTGCAAAACTTTTAAACATTACAAAATATACAAAGCTTCCTTATACAAACATCCAGCACTCCCCTTACCAGAAATAATCATTATTTGAAGTTTATTCTTTCAAACTGTTTTTGTGTATTTACATAAATGCCTAAGGAGTCAATTTAGCACTATTTGTCTATTTTTTAAAGTAGTGTAATTTCTGCACATATCATTGTATAATTTGGTTTTTATCACTAATTCTTTTTAACTACTGCATTACATTCTGCAGATAATAATGTTGTTTACCTCGTCGCCTACTCTTTCCTACATACACATAAATATACATCTATTAAATAGAAAAATGATATATGGTACCTATTTATGTACTTAAATCTGTACCAGTCAACTGGTCCATATTTATGTCAGTTGACCGACATAAATACTGTAAATATTACTTTTAATTTTTTTTTTTGAGATGAGTCTCGCTCTGTCACCAGGCTGGAGTGCGGTTTGGCTCACTGCAACCTCCACCTCCCCGGTTCAAGCTGCTTCTTCAGCCTCCTGAGTAGCTGGGATTATAGGCGCATGCCACCATACTCAGCTAATTTTTATATTTTTAGTAGAGATGGGGTTTCGCCTGTTGGTCAGGTTGGTCTCAATCTCCAGAGCTTATGATCCGCCCATCTTGGCCTCCAAAAGTGCTGGGATTACAGACGTGAGCCACCATGCCCAGCCTAATTCTTTTTTTAAACATACTATTGGCTTAACTTATAACTTTCGTGGAGTCAAAATTATAAACCTTTTCCCTTACGGATTCTTCTTCTAAATTCCATGGTTTTTTTTTTTTGGAGACAGGGTCTCCCTCTGTCACCCAGGCTGGAGTGCAAGTGGCGTAATTTCAGCTTACTGCAACCTCCATCTCCCAGATTCAAGCAATTCTCATGCCTCAGCCTCCCAAATAGCTGGGACTACAGGGAACTGGCCTGATGGCTGGCTAATTTTTCTGTTTTTAGCAGAGACAGGGTTTCACTATGTTGGCCAGGCTGGTCTCAAACTCCTGACGTCAAGTGATCTGCCTGCCTTTGCCTCTCAAAGTGCTGGGATTACAGGCGTGAGCCACCATGCCCAGCCCAACTTCTGTGTCAGAAAAGCATTCCCAGGCAGAGCATGGTGGCTCATGCCTGTAATCCCATTACTTTGGGAGGTCGAGGCAAATGGATCACAAGGTCAGGAGTTTGAGACCAGCCTGACCAACATGGTGAAACCCTATCTCTAAAAAAATAAATAAATAAAAATTTAAAAATAGAAAAGCATTCCCTTTCCTAAAATCAAAAAACTCTTCATTCACCTACATCTGCTTTAAGTTATTTTACCGCTTAATTTTTTAAATCTTCCAGAAATTTTTTTGGTATAGGGGAATGGGATGAGGATCATACATTTTTTCACCTCAGCGTTCACAAATTATCTTAGCACTATTCTAGTCAATATGAATCGCCTTGTCACGTTGTAAATACTTTGCTGTTTTGGGTTTTTTTTTTTTTTTTTTTTTTTTTTAGCTGCTTTAAAGAGAGAAAGAAAGAAATACTTTAAATCTGTCTCTATGGCTGTTTGTATGTGTCCTATTAGGACTTTCCTATTCATGTGCTCCCTCACCCCCTGCCCTATTTATTCTATTCTGCTACTCAGTCTCAGACTACAAAAATATATAGGTATTTTATTGACTAAGAGCAGAAGACAGAGATTAGGCCTGAATAAGAATCCAAAACTTCGGTTTAGCTTCAACAAATGTCAAAAGTAAATACCAACTAAAAGCTAAAATCTATCATGCTAGAAAGCTACTTACTTCCACAGTGGTTGCAGCCTTTTGAGTCATTTTTCCAACAAGGTCAACCTGTTCATATCTGGATTTCATGTATTTTTTTGCAACTTTGTATACCCACTGTGGGCAAGTTGCAGAAAAAAGTAAAGTCTGAGGATTGTCTTCAGAATCTTAAATAAACAAAAAGAATTCAAATGTTTTCTTAATTTCCCATGATGTAGCCAGCTCTTAAAAATCCTCCCCAAGCTTCAAAAAAATAATGAAAAATTCAAAACTTGGGGTGAATTTTTAACACACAGAATTCATTGCAATTATTAAAATTTTCAACTTGCAAAAATGGGGGACAATTATGAAGAGAACTGAACCCAGAAGGAAGGGGAGAATTTAAGAAGGAACAATGAACAAAGAAATCAATGAGTTAGTAAAAGTACCGACTATAAAAAAAAAATAGAAAAAAGCATAGGAAGCTAAGAAAATAGTTAAAAGGATGCTATCATACTTTTTTCAGAGACAGAACAGATACCAAATTATTTTAGTTTTGTTAGAACAAATTATCTCAGCAGTATTCTTTTCTAGTCAATATGAATCGCAGGGGGACACTATAGAAGACAGTTAGAACTTTGTTAAAACACTGGGGACACTGAAATAAAAATTATTAAATAAAAACTTGTTTAAGACAGAAGAGTAATTGCTAATGTGCTTATTTTGAATTAGGATATACCAGTTTTGTAGGATTCATGAATAATATCTTCAACTTGTTCAGCAAAACCTAAATCTAACATTTGATCCACTTCATCAAGTACAACATGGCGCAGTTTAGAAAGATCCAATCGGCCACTCTGCAGATGGTCTTTGATACGACCAGGGGTTCCAACCAAGATGTCAATACCATTTCGAATATGATTAACTGTGAGAAGAGAGAAATGCCACCAATATGTGAAAATCACACTTTCACATTATTTCTTTAAATTTAAGTATCAAACATATCTTTGCACTTCTTTCATACATATTTACTCACTTTGGCTTTGATATGATGTTCCACCATAAAAACACGCCACACTGAGTTTCCTAGTTATATCTTTGAAGTCTTTGGCTACTTGATTTGCCAGTTCCCTTGTTGGAGCCAAAACGAGTACCTGAGCAAGAGGTTTAAAAAACAAAAAGATATTTTTCTAAAGACTTATGTAAGTTAAAATCGAGACTTTTTTTAGGTGCATTTAAAACCAGGAATCTTAACATTAATGTCGTAAGTACTTAAAGACACAGCACAAATAGCAAATAAGAACACCAGCATATATTTATTATATCCTCCTCCCTTCCTTCAGGTCTCTTCAGTGAGGTTCTCAAGCCTCCTTTCATATCTCCCTGCCCTTATCATTTCTTCTCAGCCCTGATACCACCTAAGATAATGATATTTTACTTATTTGCTGATTGTCTATCTCATCCAATAAAATGTAAGCTCCATGAAGGCAGGGATTTATGTCAGTTTGGGTTACTATATTCCTAACACTTCAAACAGTGCTTGGTACAGTACAAGAAACTCAGAAATATTTGTTAAATGAATGACTGTTCACCATGTGCTGGGAACTAATGCTTTACAGGAATTATCTAATTTGATTTTCATAAAAACCCATGGGTGGCATTATTACACCATTTTCATAGATGAGAGACTTATGTCCCAGAGAAGTAAAGTCTTGCCCCAAATCAAACAGCTAGAAATGGTGGAGCTGGAATCTCCAGTTAACATCTGTCTCATACAAAAGCTTTTTAAGGCAGCTTTGGGGCCAGGCATGATGGTTAACACGTATAATTCCCAACACCTTGGAAGGCCAGGTGGAAGGACTGCTTGAGGCCAGTAGTTTAAAACCAGCCTGAGCAACATAGCGTGACCCCAACTCTACAAAAAATTTAAAAATTAACCAAGTATGGTGGCACCTGCCTGTAGTCCTTCCTACTGGAGAGACTGAGAGGAGGAGAGAATTGCTTGAGCCCAGGAGTTCATAGTTACAGTGAGCCATGATCACCCTGCTGTACTCCATCCTGGGCAACAGGGTAAGACCCTGTCTCTTAAAAAAAAAAAAAAAGCAGTGTTGAAATTATGTCCTATTTCAGTCTTTTCCTAATTTCACCCCAAAAACGTAACTCTCCAAAAAGATTTATCCATTTATCCTGTAAGTCAGCATAGCTGATCCAAGACGATTATGATTTAATTATATTTATGTATGTTAATTTGCTCTTATAATACCACTCAGAAGCCTTAGAAAGAACAAATTACTTTTAGTCATTCAGGTGTTCACATGATGATGACAGTATTTTTCTTCATTTTTACAATCCTTAAGTGTACACAGCTTTGCTTTTTAGGTCAAATTTTAGGCTTATATTTTACTAGTCTCCTCTGTTGGTTGATTTTACATTTATAAAATAAGACAGATGTCTAGTACTCCAATAATATATGAACTAGCAATATAATTTCTATAATACTCTTCTTAAAAAGTCCATCTGTGTGTGCTCACTTCAGCAGCACATACACTAAAATTGGAATGTCACAGAGATTAGCATGACCCCTGCACAAGGATGACATGAAAATTCATGAAGCTTTCTATACTAAAGGGAAAAAAAGTCAACACTGAAATAAATGATACTGAACATTTACCGAATGACAAATAAATGAACGCCTCTTTAGAAAATTCACTTGTTTAAAAGCAAAAGTCAGGACAGAAAAAAGAGAAGGGTCAAGTAGGCTGGGTGGGGTGGCTCACGCCTGTAATCCCAGCACTTTGGGAGGCCAAGGCAGGCAGATCACCTGAGGTCAGGAGTTCAAGACCAGCTTGGCCAACATAGTAAAAACCTGTCTCTACTGAAAATACAAAAATTAGCTGGGCATGATAATGGGTGTAATAGCTGTAATCCCAGCTATTTGGGAAGCTGAGCCAGGAGGATCACTTGAACCCAGGAGGCGGAGGTTGCAGTGAGCCAAGATTACACCACTGCACTCCAGCCTGGGCAACGGGAGCGAAACTCTTGTCTTAAAAAAAAAAAAAAAGAAAAGAGTCAACTAAATATTTAAACTGTAAATAAGATTTACTGGCTTTATAATACATAAAATTATCAAAGACATCTATGGATCCACGCATATCACATTCCTATGCAATAAGTACTTCACTTTAACTTCTCTTGAGATTTCTTTTTGTGAAAAATAACATATTTTTGCTTTATGCCACAGCTCTACTTTTCTATCTTGGGGGTACTAGTAACTTAAGACTATAGAAAGTCTTAAAGACTAAAGAAAGAATAAAGACTAAAGAAAAGTGTAAAGACTAAAGAAAGAATAAAGACTAAAGAAAAGTGTAACTCTTTCTTTCCCTTTCCGTTACGTTAACATTTAAAGCTCTTACTCCCTATAATGATTACCTTTGGTGAGCGGCTTTTTTTAATTGTTTCTTGATTTCTTTGTAGTCTTTCAATCAAGGGAATGGCAAAAGAGAATGTCTTTCCTGTTCCTGTCCGTGCTTGAGCTATTAAATCTTTTCCTTCATATACAGGACCAAAAGTCTTAACTTGAATAGGAAAGAGGTATGTTACCCCTCGACCTTTCAGAAGCTTTATAGTCTCTTCAGAAATAGGGAAATTGGAGAAGGCTCCTTCTTTCTGTTCACGTGTTAAGGTCTGTAAAAATGAAATGAATGTCCTAAATAATATAATTTATATTAAACTCTTTCTCATTTACATTTTTAATTTTGCTAAACAAACAAATCAACTTTAGTTAGTACTTGCAAAAACTGTACAGATTAACTTAAATTAACTTACAAGGAAAATTAGTGGGACACTGGCTGGGCGCAGTGGCTCACGCCTGTAATCCCAGCACTTTGGGAGGCTGAGGTAGGCAGATCACAAGGTCAGGAATTTGAGACCAGCCTGGCCAACATGGTAAAAACCTTGCCTCTACTAAAAATAAAAAAATTAGCTGGGCGTGGTGGTGCGCACCTATAGTCCCAGCTACTTGGGAGGCTAAGACAGGAGAATCCCTTGAACCCGGGAGGCGGAGGTTGCAGTGAGCCAAGATCGTGCCACTGTACTCCAGCCTGGCAACAGAGTAAGACTCTGTATCAAAAAAAAAAAAAAAAATAGTGACACACTCTTTTAGACGGAATCTTGCTCTGTCACCCAGGCTGAAGGGCAGTGGCATGATCTCGGCTCACTGCAACCACTGTCTCCTAGGTTCAAGCAATTCTCCCATCTCAGTCTTCCAAGTAGCTAGGATTATGGGTACCCACCATCATGCCCAACTAATTTTTGTATTTTAGAAGAGATGAGGTTTCACCATGTTGGCCAGACTAGTCTTGAACTCCCGACCTCAGGTGATCCGCTGGCCTCAGCTTCGGCCTCCCAAAGTGCTAGGATTACAGGCATGAGCTACCACGCCAGGCTTTTTTTTTCAGACAGGGTCCCACTCTGTTGCCCAGGTTGGAGTGCAGCGGCACCATCATAGCTCACTGTCACCTCAACTTCCGGGCTGAAATCCTGCCCACCTCAGCCTCCCAAGTAGCTGGGACCACAGGTGCATGCCACCACGCTCACCTAGTTTTTTTAATCTTTTGTAGAGACAAGATATGTTACCCAGTCTGGTCTCACTATGTTACCCAGGCTGGTCTCAAACTCCTGGCCTCAAGAGATCGTCCTGGCCGGGCACAGTGGTTCACACCTATAATTCCAGCACTTTGGGAGGCCAAGGCAGGCACACTACCTGAGGTCAGGAGTTGGAGACCAGCCTGACCAACATGGAGAAACCTCGTCTCTCTACTAAAAATACAACAAATTAGCTGGTCAGGGTGGCACATGCCTGTAATCCTAGCTACTCAGAAGGCTGAGGCAGGAGAATTGCTTTAACCTGGGAGGTGGAGGTTGTGGTGAGCCAAGATCACACCATTGCACTCCAGCCTGGGCAACAAGATTGCAACTCCATCTCATTTAAAAAAAACGAGAGAGAGATCCTCCTGCCTTGTCCTCCAAAACTGCTGGGATTATAAGCATGAGCCACCATGCCCAGCCAAAAAGGCTATTTATTAATCTAAATCATACTTACAGATATAGACAAAATTATAAAATTAACATAAGCCTATAAACTAAGCCCAAAAAAATTACACAATGAGAAATGTAAAACACAAAAAGTAGCTGGGCGTCATGGTGGGTGGCTGTAATCTCAGCTACTTGGTAGGCTGAGGCAGGAGAATTGTTTGAACTCAGAAGGTGGAGGTTGTAGTGAGTGGAGATTGTACCACAGCACTCTAGCATGGGTGACAGTGAGACTGTCTGAAAAAAAAAAATTACAAAAATAATACACTGTTGGCCAGATGCAGTGGCTCAAGCCTGTAACCCCAACACTTTGGGAGGCCAAGGTGGTAGGATCACTTAAGCCCAGGAGTTCAAGATTAGCCTGGGCAACACAGTGAGACCCCATCTCTATAAAAAACAAACTAA